AGAGCGTACGCAACGATATCGATACACTTATAGCAATCGACGTCGTTTTAGATTCCGACGATAAAGGCGAATCGATCGAGCGCTATAGTAAGAGTAGTCTACGAGCGCCGTATTTCTCTTACCTGCTAATATAATCGACAGGTCCTAAAGCGTCTACCGGGCAACAATTAAGTAAACAACTCAAAGCCGGCGATAATGCGATAGATAGGTTAGCGGAGGCGGAGGCCCTATCTAAGAAAAACGATATTAGACTGCCTATACTATAGAGCAGTTTCTAAGCGACAGATTAGAAGCCGACGGAGGCTGCTAATCCGTTTGCTTTAGTACGGGGAGGTAACGGCATAAGTGCAACCGAGATAATAGAATACAATAGAACCGAAGACAATTAATACTAAAGGTACAGATATACCGCGGTAATAGCAATAGGGAAGGATTACGCGCTAATTACTACAAGAATAGTAGGTATTCTAACTAGTCTTATATAATAGATAAGACTTCATTCGCGGCGGTAAGTAATCGCGTTAGGGATATATTAGGGCTAGAAGAGGGGGAGTAGATATAGTAGGCGGATATAGAGGCGGACGGCGGCAAAGTTAAGGAGATAGCATTTAACGAGGAGACGTAGGATCGAAGAATTAGGAGATATATAGTAAAAGAGAAGAAGAAGTCGAAAGGAAACAAACGAAAGAAGGTAGAGGTATATCGCTTTAATATAGCCGTAGAGGACGAATAGAATACATTCTTGTTAACCGTAATAAATAGATGCCCTATATAACATAACGAAATCTATTAATACTATATAAGTCGGTCGCTAAGTCGGTACTAACTTAGTGTACGTAGTAGACGTATACAAATGCTAGTAGTTACCCGAGTATACGTATAAACGTTAGATATTAGTAGAAGCAACAATCGTATAATATACAGATCCGATAGAAAATGTAATTCAAATGCTAGTACTAGTATATACGACGACTCGAGCCCGACTCGATATACGAGTCGGACGGTAAAGAATAAAATTCTTACTATAATTAGATTTGCTAGAATTTCTAGATCGCGACGATCCTATTAGACAAGATCTTTAACGTGCGATCCTAAGGATCCTAAGGATCCTAAGGATCCTAAGCGATCCTATCGATAGGATCGTCGCGATCGGTAAAAAAGTTTCTGTAACGGAGGTCCTTTAGCTAGTTATAATTATACGTACCGATTGCACTTTCGAGATCGGCCGCGGCTCTAGGTTCCTTACTAATCCGACTACCGAGCACTATACTACCGTATTCCGGATCCTTAAGTATCTTATTAGTACTATAAATCGTAGCATTTAGTTCGACGGAAAGAATAACAAGTTAGACTTATACGGCTTCGCTAATGCTATATAGGCTAACGACCTTAATAATCGTCGCTCGATAGGTAGTTACCTATATACGGTTAGCAACTTACCTGTTTTTTAGAAAAGCGGACTTTAGCCTCTCGTAATACTCTCCTTAATAGAGGCGGAATATGTTTAGCTAGCACTAGTAGTACGAGAAGGCATAGTACTAGCAAACCTGCTTACTAACCTTAATATCTTTAAGAAGCCGGATAATAACAAGTTAGTGTTTCTAGTTACTATCTATAAAGACAATATCCCTACTATCGACATTACTAAGCGTACGAATAGTATTAATAGCTATACGAGGCATATCGACATACGGTATTACTTTACTCGAGAGCAGATTTAGAATAGCCGCATCGTTATTAACTAGATTAGCACCGACAAATAGAAGGCTAATAGCCTTACTAAGGCACTCGATCGATACAAACACGAGGCCTTCGTATAACAACTTAACCTAGTTAACTACACTATTGCTATTAAGATAACTAAGTAGTATAAAGTCTAGTATTAAGACGACCTCGGCGATTAGAGGAGTTTCTCGGCACCTTATTAGCTGCCGCTAGAAACACCGCTAATCGTACGCTCTGCCTTACTAATTATGCGATTGCGCAAGTAAGAGATCTACGGCGTACGCCTTATTACGACCTACGAATCCTAGATTCATCGTACGGATACCTAAGGAAATAGTTAATTGTATATATATTTTATAGGGTATAGATACGCGGTATACGGGAGGCGTTTAGGGGGAGATAGGTAGCGGCCCTTATACGAACAATATACATCGATATAGTTATTGTCGCTTGCAACAACGCTCGTTTAGGGAGTAACTTAATATATCTAGCCTACTAGCCGTACTAGCCGCAGCCTTAGGCTACGATTACGTACCCGAGCGTTCTTAGCATCGCTACCTCTTCTTCGTAGAACCCGTAGAACCTCTAATCTACTAGTGTTCTTACATTGAGTTAAACGTTAAGCCCCTAAAACACTAGCGGCTATAGAGAGGGTTTAAAGGATGCGAGAAATTTACACTAAGTTAGCTAACAAACTAGCAAAGGCCTAGGCCTATTAGAAGGCCTATTATAACAAACACTATACCCTAATAACCTTTAAGCAAGGCGACATAGTTATACTTAGTACGAAGAACCTCCGTATCCGTAAATACCTCTCGCCTAATAGCAAAATAAGGCCTAAACTCGTACTAAGGTATATTAGCCCTTTCCGTATCCGAGAACCTAGGGGTACCTAGGCCTACTAACTATAGCTTCTACCTTATTACACTATCTATAACACCTTCTATATATCCCTCCTTAAGCTATATTACCTACGCGAGGGGGACGAAGCCCCTACTAAATACGAAGATATACTAGCGGATAGTAAAGAGCTATAGTCTATAGAACGTATCCTATAGCACTAGACTAGGAAAGGTAAGAAGGAGTACCTATTAAGATAGCAAGGCTATTTACCTAAATAGGACTCGTAGGAAGCTAAAGGTTCCTTTAAGGATATAACTAAGTTATTAGACGAATATTAGACTAGCGTAAAGAACAAGAAGAAGGCTAAGAGCTTATAATGCCGCTAATGTTACTAAAAGAGACCTAGGATTAATACTACCCCTAGGGTAATATTCGCTAACTAATTAGAGACCGGCAAACTAGGACAATAAGACTACTTACTACTCTTCTAAGGACTCTACCTCTTAGTTATTTATTCTATAGGGCCTCGAAGCCTTAGCGATGCGCGCGCGCGTACGAATAATAGTAATAAAGATAGTGTCGCGCTACGAGCTAGTAGTGTATTAGTAGCCGATACAACTATATCGGTAATAGTGTTACAGAGTATATTGCTATTCGAAGGAGAAAGACGACGCGACTATATCGGTAACGGTATTGCTAATATTGTTATTAGTTAAAGAAGAAGATTAGAAGCGAGGTAAGGTTAGCGCTAAGACGGTTAGCGCCGCTATTATTAACGTTACTTACTATTATCGTTACGCCTATAGATATAACCTTACCTATACTATACCGGCTAAGTTAAAAGAATAGCTATATTAAAGGTTTAATCAAAACTTTAAGGCTAAGACAAAACACTAAGAGCCGCTTAAAAGATTAAGTAGCTTAATAGACTAACTGCCTAAGGGCAAAAACTATAGAGCTAAGTTAGCCGGGGTCGATCTTACGGACAATAGGTTACTCCTCGATCTTTCTAACCCTTTAAGCGAGGCGAACCTTAACTATTGCACTTGTAATAGCCTTTACCTATAGAAACTAGACAAACTGTGTTTTTTCCGAAAAGATAAGATAAGATTAACAATTAAAGGCTGCTAAACCTAACTAATTAGGGCTAGTAAAACTACGATAGTAAATAATAGTCCTCGTAATAATAAGAATAATAACCCTTAGAAGCGGACGAACCCTCGGAAGCGGACATTACTAGGTCTTTTAGAGTAGACGCAAAGAACTCGGAACGACATTACTTAGAGCGGAGGTAGTACTATAATACCTCGTACGTCTACCTATTATAGTAGGGAAGACGCGCTCGTATTATAATTAGTCGATAGTCCTTAGTTCTCGTAGTTATATATTACTTTATTATATATAAAGATAGCGTAGTTAGAGTTAGACATTATGTTAGAAGGTAAGGTTTAATATAGTTATATAATTAGGTAGTTAAGTGTTTAATTTAGCGCGGCTAAGCAGCTTATTAGACTTGCTAAGTTAGTAGTAATAGAGGTCGAGATTGGAATATAGATAGGCTACGAGGGCGCGGCCTTTAGAAGGGAAGCGTATATTAGGGCTAAAGAGGCTATACGTAACTAGTATATAATTAGGCCGAGTAAAGCTAGGGTCTTAGTGCCTTAGGCAGGGCTTAGCGCTTAGCGTTAGGCTAACTAGCCTGCCTTCCTCCTTCTCCTCCTAGTTCTCTATCGAATACTACTTATATCTACTACTATCCTATCTACCTACTAATATAACCCTTCTTACATTTAATACTATACCGACCTAGATATCCGAATAGAACTAGAAGGTATAATTATATCGAGATTTACGTATAGCCTACTAAGAAAATACGATTTTGTATATAGCTAGTTTCCTTATAGATAGCGGGCGTAAAGTAACTAATAAAATATTAAACTACTATACTAGCGCGCCCGTTTACTAGTATAATACGGCGATAAAAGATCGGAAGTATCCGCGCTTACTAAGCGTAGATCTCGGGCGCACTTATAGGTAACAAAGGTCGGCTATATACTTAGCGCTAAGCCTCCTTGGCTTCTGCCTTATATAGTACGATTAAGCGAGATAGCGGACGGAAGTAATCCCCGTAAACGGCAGCTAGCTTGAAAGCGTTAGACGTAAACTTTTTAAAGGTACGGATAATTCCTTTAGGCAGTACGCTAGCTTTAACCAGTTAGATCCCGTTTTCAGGGATCACCGCCGTCCGCCATCTCGCTTAATCGTACTGTACGAAACCCCGGATACAGGCGCAGCCAGCTTGCAGACATCATGTTGCTTCATCCGGAGCCGGAGCTGTGGCTTGGACGCCCTTCCATTCATCCTATATATTCTTCATCAATATTCTACTCTTCTGCGGGATCAGTAGCGCCCCCTTCGAGATGCCCAAACGTCGCATTTTAATCCTTGGCGACTCCATCACTCACGGTGGAGAAGGAGATTATACTTGGAGATACAGGCTGTGGGAATGGTTTCAGCAGTATCACATCCAGGCGGACTTTGTGGGACCATATACTGGAGTGAATCGTCGTGACGAGCCTGTACCACCTCAGCCTCCACGCTTGCCTGAGGAACCTGAACTACCGCCTAAAGACCGAATCCCTTGGGGTTACAATGCCAACGTCTCGCACCACTTCGACAGCAGTCATTTCGCTACATGGGGCTACCAAGCAAAGCAAGCAACAAGTGTCATTGGTGACGCCGTTCGGCAATCCAATGCGACTATGCTACTGTCACTTGTGGGCTTCAACGATCTTGGCTGGTTCGTGGATGATGCGAGCGGCACCATGAAAAGTATTGAGACCATACTTCATGAATGCCGCGCGGCAAATCCCACTATGGAGTTTGTATTCGGGAATGTCGTTCATAGAAGCAAGATGGATGGAAGACAAGACCTCATTGACAATACTAATCGGGTCAATAAGCTCCTCAAGACCGCTACTTCGAACTGGAACTGCAGCAAGTCTCCTGTCTCCTATGCTGATGTTGCCTCTTTGTACGAATGCGGACCTGAATACGGGGACAAATGCCCTGCAGCATATGATGGCCTTCGTAGGTGTTTTCGATCCTGGAGAAATGGAACATCGCTGACCAGCAGATCCGAATGCTCGGGGAGAGTATCAGATTGCCAGAGCTTTTTCGAAAGCTTTGCACAAAGACTTCGCTCTTGGAGAACAACCGTTAGAAATGCCGACGCGGATACCTGCCAGAGACCTCCGGACGCCGTCACACATTACTGTCGAAGGTGCTCCGATGGGCCTAGCTGTGAGTTGGAGCCATGTCTTCGGCGCAGAATACGATTATCGTCGGAGAGAGAAAGGCCAGTCAGAGTGGTCCGAACAACAGATCGCCACCAACCGCGTCGACTTGACCGACACACACGCGGGAACAGAATATGAAATCCAAATTAGATCCCGTCACGGCTACGAACATGGTGCCTGGTCAGCCAGCTGTAGCGCAGTAGCGACACGAGATACTGCTCCACCTCCGCGGAACATCAAGGTGTTTCCGGCGATCTCGTCTTTTTCTATATCGTGGGATCCTCCTGCAGGGAATTGGAACATCGAGCGCTACGAGATCCTGTGGGCTGACCAAGACGTTCAAGGGTTTCCAAGCAATCAAGGCGCTCGAGGCAATGCGACCGTTGTGCGTGGCCTCACAAATGGTCACCGCATTCAAGCTGGCATGAGGACGTGGACGCAGTCTTCAAGTGGTCTTTATGGGGGTGGTGATTACGCGTTTGCGCGACCTCTCCGGCTAGGTGCTGGCTCTCCGCAAAGACCGAATCGTCTCGATGCTCGCAACGTGGACAACAGGACGATTGACCTCTCCTGGCAAGGGAGTGACTCTGATGCTGGCTACTTGATCTATCTGAGGAATGTTAGTGAAGCGAGTGATGTAGCCACGACGAATGGTCAAGTTGTTGCGGACACCAGCAAGACAGTATCGGTGATGTTTGGCAAGATTTGGGACTTTGAGATATCTGTCAGCGCCGTCAATGGAGAGGAGGAATCGCAGAGGAGCGCGGGTATTGTGCCTGAGAAAGCCGCGTGAGGTTGCAGGGGAGCTGCTTCCATCAGCCGTGTGATGAACACCCGGGCATCGTAGACTGGCGGAGCATAGACTTCTCCTCTTCTCGCTTTACTGTAAAATAGTAATGAACTCTGCCTTGTTGCCGTATGGTCGCATACTTGCGCAATGCTCGCCTCTTGGGTCAATCGGGTGGCAGTGATCGTGGCCACGCAAGTTCCTCTTTGCACCGTTGAATTTTGCACTGAAGGTTTCGCGGTGGCCTATGTCGTCGCTGTAGAAACGCGATTTCTCGGCTTCTCTGCAACGCTGCCTCCCTCCCTCCTCCTCCTCCTCCTCCTCCTCCTCCTCCTCCTCCTCCTCATCACAACACAGACTTTTGATATACGCCATGCCACTCATTGCAGCCTGATAAGCACTTTCCGCCTCGGATAGAAACGGCATCGGGCCTCACAGCGGCAACGTTCTGGCCGCAAGTGCAGGGCCGAGGGGCATTGCGCTGGCAGCGCTGCCATTGAGCGCGCACGGATTCGACATCCTCGTCATCGGGCTGGAACGACGCACACCGCACGAAGTTGGCTCCGGCACAGACACAGCAGACGACTGTCGCCCAGCAGAGTGGGACGGGCGTCCGTCTCTCGGAGTCCGGAGCTGTTTCAAAATTTCTCATACATGTTTCACGAGCACGAGTCGTGAGTCCGGAAAGGGAGCGTCACGAGCGTGGAGAGATGTAATGGTGGCTCAAAAGACGCCGAGCTGCCTCGAGGATTCCCCGAGCCCCAGCTACCCGCCCGAGCCCCAGCATAACCCGAGATTATGAGATCGGCTGTTCTATACAAAATCGCGTGTAGAAGCGATAATCGCGTCGCTGCAGGCCCCTCCGACCGGGCAACTACTATACTGCTACTAGCAGCTATAAAGCTAAAGTTTATTAGCAAATTAGTAGTATAGCAAAATTCAAGGTATTATTACTTGCTATCTACTTAGGTCTAAGCGGATTACGACCTACAGCCTTGTAACTACGTAATGCTATATATGCTAGCTTATATTAGTCCCTTATTTGCTAACTAGCCTACTACTATATATAATACTACTACTAAGTAAACTAATAGTACTATTATTATAGTACCTAGTAATAAAGTAGCCGCTCTATTAGCTATATAAGCGACTATTGTTGTTGTTACTAGTACTAGTAGTGTTACTAAGCAGCCTGTCGTTGTTGTTGCTTATATAATGCCGCCTACTAGCGGCTATAGTAAGCTTATTATCTCGCTCGCTCTTCTTCCGCTTATAGTCGTTATTATTTATAAAGTATCCGTAGACCCGCGGTATAGGTTAGGATAGCCGAGCGAAGCCGGAGGCGAGCGGCGGATAACAAGTTAGCCTTACTAATAAAGCTCGTAGTTAGCAATCTATTAAAGAGAATTATCTATTAGCTATTAACTATGTCCTAATTATTATTAGCCTATTTACTATTATCTATTACCTCCTAATTATCTATTACCTCCTAATTATCTATTACCTCCTAATTATCTATTACCTCCTAATTATCTATTACCTCCTGCTTATCGATTATCTTATTATCTTAGAAGTTAGCCTGTCGTATAAGGAGGCGGGTCTAGCCTCGCAAAGTAATTGTAACTCTAGTAACAGTTAGAACAACCTCTCTAAGTCGCTACTAATCGACCTACTATTCTTTACGAGCGTTAGTAAACCGTAGCGCAAATTCCCTAAAGCTAAGAGTCTTACTAGGCTAAATAGCGTCGAGTATGTTAGTATCGTTATACTAATCTTCTAGGAGACGCTCTAGAAGTAGTAAACTAGATTTAGTAGGGCTCTTAGTATTTAGAAGATTAATTGTCTACCGAGCCTATTACGCTTTCTTATAGTTAGCATTAACGCGCGCGAACAACTCGGTCGTCTTAGTAGGAGTAGCTACTAGAGCATATACTAGATATATACTAATAGAATATGCTAGTAGAGGGTCGGATAAAAGAGGAGGGCCTAACTGTACCTAGGGCTATAGAAGTGCTGTCTATAGTAGCGGAGGAGTATATTGCGGATAGAGAGCTTCGAACTAGCTAACTAATCCTTGTACTAGCTTAGCGTTAACACTGCCCTTAGCGAGGGGATAGCGGAAGTTATAAGCTTCTAGAGGAGCGCGTATATAGCGCTATACAAGAGCAGTAATCTTATATAGCAAGCGCGGATTAGCCTAAAGTTAGGCTCGAAGCTACTCTATACGATTAATAGACTATAGATCCTTTAAGTGCTATAACATCTCTTGCTTCTTGCGAGCCTTATCTTAACCTACCTACTTAGCTCGCTAGGTATCGAGCCTATCGCGCTACTACTTAGTATAAGCAGCTAAGTTAGTTATCGAATTAACTAGCTTAGCATTAGGACGTAGTAGCGTAGAAGAAAGAACAAGCCCTTCTAGGAGTAAGCATTGTAGGCGACGACGGACTAGGTCGGCATATCGAGTTACTACTATAGGTAGTACTTTAACTGTCTTAAAGCGGTTATAGAAGTTAAAAGGTGCTTCGAATATAACATCGTCTAGACTACGCACCCGCGAGACGCTAATATAGGTTAAGCCGATAGTAAAGTCCTTCTTAGAGATATCTAGAACGGCTTTATCTAAAGTTATACCCTATGCCTTATAGATAGTAATTGCGTATGCGATTATTAAGGGGAACTGCGTACGTACATACGGACTGTTCTAGTTCTAATTGTGTAGCTACTCTCGTCGAACTAGAACGACTAGTACTACGCTACGAGGCAACCCTCTACTACTATCCTCGTTAAATTCCTAGTCAAAGGTTGGCCCGGAGTATTTGTTAAGCTTAACAAGAAGGACGGTAGGCAAGCGCTAAAGGATGTTATTAGGATTATTATTAGTAGCTTCCTAGACAATGTTAACAACGGTGCCTATACTGCCGTTAACGATACCTCCCTTAGTCTACAGATTCTACGTAACTATAATACGGGCACCGATGCATAATAGCAACCGCGGGTATAGATTGCTACCGTTCTCGTACGATGTCTTAGCTGCCTCGGCGCCAACGTAATTAGCCTTAGCGACCTTAATAGGAGTGTTGTTATCTCGTATAGCGTCTTAGTTATAGGCGTTGACTTGCTTCTTATATAGGTAAAGCCGAACAGCGGCCTTAAAGGCGTCTTGTTCTGCTTAAGGCAGTAATGTCTTTATACTGGAACATAATGTCTCCTAGTAAGATATAGTTATACTAGCTAGAGCATTTCGAAGGCCCTCTAAAGCATCGCGGAAGGCAATAGATCGGGGATTATTACCCTACTATCGATAGATTACGCTTAGCTAGATAGTCTAGTTAAACAGTTAATAAGCCTCGTATCTAGCAATGTCCTTAGGCGTGCGGAGGTTAGCAAGCTTTAAGAATAGTAGCTTGCCGCCGACGGGTAGAAGCTAGTTAAAGTCACCTATAATAGTAACACATCTACCGCTAAATAGGAGAGTAGCATCGGGTCCTTAGCTCTATAGAGCGGGATAACTAACCTAGCGAAGTCGACGATCGATCTAGTAAAGCATAGTAAGGTCTATTATAGACTTCTTATTAATAATAATATACTTAATCTAGCCTATACGATCTTAGAAGTTAGTAAGCGCCTAGCTATCTAGCGGAATATACTCTTTTATCTTTAAGGGCAACTTAAAGAAGCTGTACAAAGTACTGCCTTTAATGCTATTAGTAGCAGCACCCGTAGGTGCTAGTCGGATAATAGGATTCTCTATCTAAAGATCCGGATATCTAGCATCCGAGTTATTAAACTTATCGGTAAGTACTTCGAGCTTTGATAAGACGGTCTCTATAACGTGTAACTTGCTAATACTAGCTTTCCCGTCGACGTTAAGGAGGAATATAGGCGTATTTATATCGTCCGCTAAGTACGCTAATAATCGATAACCTGTATACTATAGCTCCTAAGCGTAGATAAGCCGTTAATACGCTAATCTAGGTCTGCAGGTATACCAATCTCTATACTTACGTACTATAGTCCTCGCTTATACTTCTACTAGTCTTTAACATTATTAACAGTAATGCCGTATCTGCCGATATAGGTGCTCTAATTATACTCCCTATCGACTTCTCGGTTGCTAAGGTCGTTAAGATCTTCTAGCATCTCTATAGGGTTACGACCTAGTAATGCACTAGCGAGTAACTCCGCTTCTAGTCGCTTAACCTCTAGATCGTAGACTTCATCCTTAAATAGGTCTTCTATAGGCTTAGGAAGATTAGTGCCTATATAGATAGATAGATAGATATTTCATTTGCCTATTATAGTGCCTTTCGGCCTATATAGGTCTGTTTCTATATATTGTTTTAGGTAGGAGACCAACTTAGTTAGTAAAAACCTCCCTCCTGTCCTATTTATAAGTATTAATCTTCCTCGTGTCCTTGTTTTCCTTCCTCTAGAGTGTACTAGTATTATAGTTGTTACCCTCTGACTACCTTGCCTACTACCCTACCCTTCTTTCCCCCTCTTCTTCCCTCCTTCTTATCTACTCCTTAGTTTCCCTTACTAGTGCGAATTGTTGTATAAATCCCTATTTAATAATCTACTTTACTATCCTCTTTAGATCTTCTTTACTCTAGATTAGCTTGTCGTATTCCCTTTCTATTGCTTTTAGTCTCTAATTACTTCTACCTTCTAACTATTAAGGGCAGACTAGTAGTATATGCTTAGGGTTCTAAGATTAGTAGCTATATTAGTAAGCTCTGCTTTCAATTCCTAGGACGTTTCGTCTAAATAGGTAAGATCTAAGTCTAATGTATTTAGATCTGATTTAGATAGCTAGGCTTGCCTCGGCCCTATTTAGGTCCTTATAGAGCTAATAGTTATATTAACTAAATTTGATTAGTGCCTTTAGGGTTCCTAGTCTAACTTGTGTTTTGTTCTATTCCTGCTCCTATAGGTATCTAGCAATTGATTCTACTAGGCTTTGTTTCTCTCCCTTTAGCTTGTCTTCCTTTAGCCTTATATTTGGTCCCTAAAGCTCTTTCTCTAGCATTTCTCTTATTAAGACTCTATATTGCTCTAGGTCTTTAACTTTCTAGGGAGTTATTTATAGTCTGTCTCGCCTCCTAGTCCTAATGCACTAGGCTTTTATCTTGTCTAGTACCTTTTAGATAGTCTATTAGGCTAGGTATTCTATTGTCTTTGCTATATATTAGTGTCTTAGTCCCTTAAAGTATTGTTTGACTAGTAGGATCCCTAATTCTATTTCTACTACCCTTGTTAGTGTAGTTTTGTATACTCCTAGGATTTTCTTTAGGCTTTAGGTTTAGGACCTACTAACTAGTTGCTTAATCCTCTTTAGTGTTTTCTCCTAAGCTGTCTATATCTGTACTCTATATAGCATTGCTAGCTTAACAATTGCTTTGTATATAACTTTAGCTTTCTCGAATGTAGCCCCCTATATAGAGGCTATAAGCCTATTAATAGATTGTATATTAGTATCTACCCTCTGCTTTGCCTTCTTTACTTATAGTCCCTAATTTAGTTTTAGATCTAGCTAGATCCCTAGTACCCTAAGCTCTACTAATAGTTGGGTTTTAAAGCCTTAGATAGTGATTGATTGCTTTATATTATAGGTTAATTTAGCCTTACTAAAGTAGATAAGCTAGTACTTTTCTAGGGCGAATTTTGCTCTATGCCTCCTTACCTATTTTTTATACTCCTAGTGCTTCTCTTCTAGGATCTTGTAGTTAGTTTCTATTGTCTTAGACTAGGCTAGGATGTTTGTGTTATCTACAAACCCTAATACTAATGTGTTTTTTAATTCTAGGAGTAGGAGTAGGTCTACTATAAAGATAAGGAAGAGGATTAGGGAGAGTATTAATCCTTAGGGGATTCCCTTTTTAGTTAGCATTAGGTCTGATTTGAATTTGCCTAGAATGAGCTATGTTGATCTTTCCTATAGGAAGGACTAGATGAATTAGACTATCTAGTTTAGTATAGCTTTCTATTTAAGTATATATAGGAGCCTTTTATAGGAGATATTGTTAAAGGCTCCTAAGATATTAAGGGAGAGGAGGGTTGCTACCTAGTTTTAACTATAGTGCTAGATATACTTAATCTGTTCTATAATTAGTTCTATAGCTATTAGTATTAACCTCTTCTTTCTTCCTCCTATCTAGCCTTTAGGAAGGATATTCCTTTCCTCGGTAAAGGTTGTTAGCCTTTTAGCGACGATTTTTTCTAGCACCTTGCCTATTGTATTAAGTAGGGCTATTAGTCTATAGGCCTTGAGCTACGTATAGTCTTCCTTCTAGGGCTTCCTTAGCACTACTATTAGGGACTTCCTAAATGGTCTTAGGTAGTGTCCTAGTGCTAGGCTTTATAAAAAGATATTAGCTAGTGCTAGGGCTAGCCCCTTCCTATATGCTTTTAGAAGTTTGTTATAGATCTTATCTTCTCCTAGTGCCTTATTGCCTAGAATTTTCTTTAGGATCCTTTTAATAGTTTCGGGTTTAACCTAGGTGTCTCTTAGTGTACCTAGTAGTAGAGTCTCTTGTTCTTTCTCCTTTATATCTAATAGGTCTGCTTATACTTTTCTATAGAAGAAGTGTTAGCCTAGGGCTCTTGCTTTCCCTTCTATTATAGTCTACATTTGTCCTTGTTAGTCTATAATGTCCGGGAATTGTAGTAGTATGTCCTTATCCTATTTAGGTCTCCTTACCTATTTAGCTATCCTCTATATCTCCTCTAGTTTCTTTGTAATTATTCCTATTATAGATCTCTATTCTTGTATCTTATCTTTCTTAATCTAGATCTTCTTTTCCTAGTAGGCTTTGTTGTAGTTGTCCTATGCTTCCTAGGTATAGGTTTATATCTACTGCCTCCTAGCCTTCCTTGCTACTTTAACCTTCCTTATATACTTACTAGTCTAGTATAGTTGCTAGTATAGTAAATGTTTTTTTATTAGGGTATGCTTTCTAGCTACCTGTTTTAGGATTCCTATTAGTTCTTCTACTACCTTATTAATGTCCTCTAGCCTTAGTAGGTGCTTTATTAAGAGTTCCTCTAGTTTTGGGTCCCTTTCTAGTTCCTCCCTAATCCTGCCCTATTAGGTACCTTTCTAGTTAAGCTTCTCCTCTAGTTCCTTTTCCTAATTAGCTTAGACACTTAGCTTAATCTATACCGGGAAGTAGTCTAATAATTCTTCTAGTTCCTAGTTAACCCTGTATCTTGTAATCCTGTTCCTAATCTAATATAATATAAAGTATAGGTCTAGTATACTACTGCTTCCTCTTGCCTCCTAAGTAATTAGTCCCTTTAGGGTAACAATTTCTATTCCTTCCCTCTCTAATATATCAATTAGTCTTCCTACTAGGAAGTAGTAAGCTAGGGTAAAGTCTAAGCCCTAGAGGGGGTAGTAGAGGTTGAAATCCCTAAGTAGGATTTAGTAGGTGTTCCCCTAGATAACTCTAGGTAGTCTTTCTAGGGTTTTTAGTTAGGTACTGCTTCTTAAGTCTAGTAGTAGGTTGTATATGCAGTAGACTTAGAGTATACCTTAGGATGTCTCTACTTAAACTAATATTAGGTCCCTATCCTCCTATAGTATAGCCTGCTAGGTTTCTATATCTATCTCCTTACTAATATAGATATATGTCCTTAGGGCTCCCTAGTTGTAGATAATTAGGTAGTATCTTAGGTCTTTAACTATTGCTAGTCTCTTTGTATATAGGTTAAGCTAGGGCTCTTAGATTACAATAATATAATGTTCTTTTAGGTTTAGTGCTTAAAGGAAGCTCCTCTATACCTTGTCTTTGCTCTTATTAATATTATACTGTATAATGTTTAGTAATGTTGCAATATTCATTAGGTTTTATCTATATTATTTCCCTATAAGTTTTCCTTTAGTCTTCCCTTACTTTAGACTAACATTTGACTAAGCTTTGTCTATCCTGCTTCCTTTCCTGCAATATTAAGGTATCTTAGTCTCCCTAGTTGCTAGTAACTCTCTTATGCTAGTAAGGCCCTAAATATAAACCTATTATCTTATCTAGACCTCTTTTGTAGCACTTAGCTAGGTTGCTTCTATACCTAGCTGCCCTAGCTTATTGTGTATCTTTTTAGTATGTTAATTCTAGCTTCCTTTGCCTTCCTAGCTGCCTGTATTCTTACTAGGTATTCCTTCGCCTAAGAGGGGTGTCTTTTAGTATAGCATACACATCTTGCTTCTCCCTTGTATGCTTTGCATTCTTTAACCTAGTAATCCCCTATATAATAGGAGTAGGTGTTAGTTGTCTTTGTATACTTAGCTACTAAGTGTCTATAGTATTGACATTTAAAGCACTGCATTATCCTATAGTTGCTTCTATATATCTCTGTTTCTAATCTTTTAAAGTCCTAGAACAACCCCTAGTCTAGTACTATATTAGCTTGCTCTACACTCCCTACCTAGATAATTAGGGAAGACTGCTTCTTAGTCTCTTCGATTTTCCTTTTAATCTATGCTACTTTTGTAATCTTTAGGCCTAGGCATATAGCTTAGTTTTGTCTCTATAGGCTCTTAATATCCTATTCTTCCTTAAAGCTTCTTGTTATACTATAGGCTATAATTATAAATTGCTATTAGGAGACCTTTGCTGTTTTCCCTATCTTAGTTGTCTATTCTTTTTGTATTTCTAGCTTCTTTTTGTCCTGCTCTTATACTATAAATAGCTTAATTACCCCTTTACCTTCGTTCCTAGCCCTAACTACCTCTTTAACTGTAATTCTTTCTATAATCTCTTTCCCTATAAATCCCTAGATTTCCTTTTGCTCCTATAGGTCCGTAATATAGACTCTAACTACTGTCCTCGGGGGTTTTAGCGCCTCCTAACTAGCTACTACTGCCTAGGTGCGGTAGTTTAGGCTTGTCTCCTATTGTTTCTTCGTAATCTTTGCTGCGACTGTATTAGCTACCTTTGTAATTACGTAGCTTGCCTAGTTATAGATTGCTTTTAGTCCTCTAAGGAGTTCTAAGATTATTATCCTATATGCCCTCTTAGGGGTTCTTCTATCTTCCGCCTTTAGCACCTCCTCTGCCCTAGTATATAGTGCTTTCTATTCGTCCTCCCTTCCTTCTTAACTATCTTCCCTTCGTCTCTGATTGTTCGCTGCCATTTTTTCGCTTCTTAGTGCCTATATAGTTATCCGGATACTTATAAAAGAGCTTACAGGCTTCGTAGGCACTAGCCTATATATCGTAGGATATGCTCGGATCTTCCTCGTAGATATATAGTAGGCTAGGATAGTTCGTATTAAACTTATAGTAAAGGAGGACTTTAGTGCGGCACTAGTCCTCGTATGTTCTATCTAGACTATCGGGGATAGCACTATACTTTAGATACTAATTAATAATACGTGCCTTCGCTCGAGTACGCTTCTTATAGGTATCGAACTCCTACTTAGTAAGAAACTCGAAGAGAGTAAGGTCTAGGTTAGCGACTAAGTTAGAGTAGTTAAACTTCGCTTTAGGAATAGCATATCGGTTTAGGTACTTTAATAGAGGCGATTGTCCCTAAGTAACTATTTGACTAGTTGTTAGATTAAAGCGCTTAACCTTCGACTAATGTTCTAGCTTGCGACAATCGAAGTTCTAAACCTTACGTAAGCCTTAGGCAAGCGGCAGATCGAGAAGAAGGTGCATCTCTTCTTAAGCAGAGATATTACGTTCTCTAATTATCTTGTTTAGCATCTTAGCGATAAAAGATACTATAGGTCGGCTCTCGTTAATTCTCGGTAGCACTTTCTACCTAAGCTCGATTAATAATTTACTCCGCTTCTCTTGCTTAGTATAGTACTTACTAAGATAGTCGACGACAGCGCCTTTGTCTATATAGATAGTAATATCGTTGTTCGCTCCCTATGCTATCTAAACGGTACGGTTGTAATTAGTTATACGTGTATTATTACGTAAACTATTATATATCTAATGTCGGGGATTTAAAGAACGGGTTACTTCCCTAGTGTTAGGATAATTCCTACGTAGGTAGTAGAAACGGCACTAAGTAAGCCTACTGTCCTTGTTCTTCCGCTAATAGTATTCGTAGCCGCATTTGTAACGCTATATACGATTGAGGTTTATTATAAGATACTATTAAGAGTTAAGAATGTCGCCCTTCTTAGCCTAGAGGATTGCAGGCTTATTAGGCTTAGGCGTAGTTCGTCGAGGCGTAGGGTTAGTAGCCGTAACATGCTTGCTCTAGAACTTAGCTAGGTCGTTGCGATAGCCCTCGTTGTGTATTATCGGCGGTAGTAGAAGGATCTTGCTATCGATCTAGTGTTCCTTTAGCTATACTACTCTATAATTGTAAGAACTGCTACGGGCTTAGAATTCAAACCGATTCTAGTAATTAGTAACGCCAAACTTCTTCGTTATTAACTGCATTACGAACGTATAGCGGCGGTAGAAGTAGTACGCTGCAATCGCCGGGTTCTCGCGGACATTGTCTCTACTAGTCTTAACCCGCTAATACTCGTTGCCGCTAGATAGAACATTAGGCATATGTCGCTAAAGACTCTACTAGTGATTGTTAGCTACACTATAAGTTAAGAAGAGACGTAGACAACTAATAGCCTTAACGTAGTTCTCTAGCTTATTAGTCTTGCTAACCTAGTACGCGCGAGTACCCCGAAGACTATTACTATATCGAACAATGTTCGCAAGTAGACGCCGGGATTCCTCGTTATTCGAAGTTAGAGCCGCTTTAAGCTCCTCGATAGTAATCTCCTCGTATTAAGGATTCTACTATATAACATAGTCTGCTTTCTTGCGTAACTGCTTTCTTATAAGAGTGTTTAAGCTAACGTATCGGAATCGCGGATGTAACGCAAATCGGTAGCGGCGAGGTCTAGTGCTATTATCCTACTTAATAAGGTACTTAAGATAGTTATCGTACGACACACCGCGCTAACGAGCCTTAACGAACTCTCTAGATCCCTATAGGAATAGCGTCGGGAATGCTCTAGACATAAGACGCTCGGTCTTGTTAAACTTATCTAAAGGCACTAGATCGAACGGTAGCATTGTAAGCTAGGTCTAGTTAGCTGCTATATCTTCGTCCCTAGACGCATCTATCTAAGAACGCTACATTCGGCGCTCTGTAGCTTCTCGTCGTATACGGTCGTTACGCTAGCGTCGCTAATTATCCTACTTATTAAGCAAGTCTTAAATCTGCTCTCGCTAGCCTTATAGAATGTGTGCTTAGGGAAGAGCCGACTCTTCTAGGTAGTCGGCAAAGTTGTCTTCGGCATCTTCTTTAATAACAGGGCTAGCGTTGTCTTTAGCGTTGTCTCTAGCTAAAGCTTGTGTTACGTCTAGAATTAGCGGAGGTAGTAGAAGCTATACTTTATCGTATTCCTTAACATTTATACGATAAAGAACGGACTCTCCTTCTTAACTGTCGGGTAGCTAAGACAGCCGGTCCTAGTCGATAGTTATACTAGCATAGTCTAGAGAGTTAGCAATTAAGTGTTTAAGCTACACCTTTACTGCCTATCTGCGGACTTTGAAATCGTATACAAAGATACGTCTAGTAATCTTATCTCCTTAAGCAGGACGGAGGACTACTGTTTTAATGTGTTTAGGCACTAATAGCAACTCCGACTAAACTTTACTAGTATCGCGTAGAAAGTTGACTACGTTGTTCTTATACCGCTACTAAGTACCCTTAATTAGCCGCATCTTAACGTAGACATAGACACGGGCGATAAGAATCTCCTTAAGTATAGTTAGCTCTAGTAGATCCTCGCTATTAGGCCCTATAGGCTATAGACCTAGATCTATTCGATTGTCGCTCGATATAAGGTCCGGGGAAAGATATAGCTTCTTATTGTCTCGGGTCTTGCGGTAGCGGCGACAGATGCTAAATATTAGAGACTTAGGATTGTTGTCTAGCTCTATATTAAACTACCGCTCCTTGCAACCTCGGCTACGAGTACTAGTATTATCGATAAGATCTAGATTCTAGTAGTATTTAATCTTCTTATCTTTAAGCTACTAATAGAAGTCCTATACTAACTAATAATCGCCGTCGTATAATGCCGCAATGTTAAGATCGCCTACTATAGGGTCTACTATACTAGCATCTAGAAATAGAAGCTCTATATCCTCGAGAAAGTGTCGCTCTATCTCTTACTATTGCTAAAGTTAGGCTTCGTATACGCGACTACCTATACGGATAGGACGTATACCTGCTGCTTCTTGCTAAGCTTTTATTAAATTGTAGCAGCTAGCGTAGCATGTCTTAAGCTCCTCTTCTAGTTGCTCGGAATTGGCGTTTATAAGGAACTTAAAGCGCTAGCTTTCGTGCTTGTTAGCTATATACTACTTTAGTGTTATTAGATCGTCTAGGTTATAGCCTTTAGCGCAGTAATTGCAAGTAGAACAGGCACGGCTCTTAACGCCTAGTACGCGGTAAAGTCGGGTAATATAACGAGGCATATTACAAATATCGTAGTAGAAGAATACGCGGTTATCTAGTATCTCGTCGTCTAGATCGAGACCGCTAGCAATACCTCTACTTAGTAGGTTGTCGCTTCTAAGAGGATCGGTCGGAAAGTCTCTAGTAGAAGGCATTACGTCCTTTTGCGTACGTTCTATAGCTCTAGCGATAATTGTATCGATACTTAGAGTTTAAGACACTTCCTTACTAGCGCGACGTCGTTATCGATACGAGCGAGAGATATCGGTCTGCGTATAACGTGCTTTAGCGGTTGCTAAATCGTCGCTACTATATTAACCGCGATACCGAATGTCTCTAGGATTGCCGAAGGATAACGACGACCCCTATATTAGTCGAGGAGGCGGAGGCGGTATTAAGCGGTCTAGCGGAGGCTTCTTAATAGGATCCCTAGTGCGAGGAATAACTAGAATGTTGCTTAATGCAGAGGAAGGCGGCGCTAGAGGTATAATATTAGGTATAGAGGAAGGAGCTAGTAACGACTAAATCTAGATTAGCGTAGATGCAGGTCTAGTAGCACCTAGAGTAGGACGACTACGCTTTATAGAAGCATTATCGTTATTATTACCTGCTCGCTTTCTCTTACTACTCTTCTTCGCGGTATTAGTAGTACGATATAAACTGCACTAGCGTAGAGTGCGCTTTCCCTTTATAAAGTAGCGAACCTTCTTCTTCTTACTACACTTGCCTATACAACGCAGCCAATCTACGCCTTTAATGCTATCGTTATTATACTCGCTATTAGACTCCT